TAATTATATCAAATATAATCAGTGATAAATAAAAGCGTGTGCTTAGGGCTGAGGATCTCAGCGTTAGACCGGAACGTTATCTGCTGTCTTGATATCTGTTATCTGCGACGTCCAGCAGATTGACAAGAATCTTGCAGCCAACGAAGGCAGTAAAGTGTTGGCAGTTACTTGCACGTCGTGCAGTGTGGCGCTGGTGAAGAGCTAGTTTTCCTAACTAAATAACTAACGCGAGCTAGTTTTTCTGCTGCTCGCCATAAGATATGGCGGTGGTGGTGTAAACTCTGGTGGATGTGAGCTGGAAAACTTGGATGTACCATTACGCATACGAATAAATTTGAGCAATTGTCGTATTTCGTTTGTTGATGCCTTGAATTTACAAAAATTTTATTAGGCACTTTTTGTGACCGCTTCAAACTGATTCCAACCACATCGTTTGCTGGTACCAGTGTAGTGGTTAATTGCTTTATTATAAAAACCAGTTAGTAGTGAGTGACAAACAGTGTAGAAATCTGCTGTTGCTTCTGTTTGTACACCGACAATTGGACCGACAACTCCTGAGCTGCACCAACGGCCAGGTAAGTACCTCATCTTCAATAATGCCTCTGACGGGGTGTAGCCATGAAGCCGTAGTTCATTGGGAACCAGTGGGTTTATAAGTGAGGTAGGCATGGTTAACTGCGAGCAAATACGACACGTAGTTCCCAAAAATTGCGGACCACGCACCAAATTTTCGGGCCATTGTTCTATTTGGTGGACTAACCAGCATGCGTGTGCCTAAAGTTTGCTAACTTATTACAATACAAGTGATCATCATTAAGGAATCACAGTTGGAATGTCATTTTACATAATTAATTGGTGCTCAGAGCAGTGTTAGTAACCACCATTGATGGGACTCAGTGGCGCTCAGACTGATCATTATTAGAATATGCAGTGCATTGACTGAGTTTATAGTTGGAGGGCAGACTGGTTGTAATCTGCGGACGCATCCGCTGGAGCATTTGAGGATAGATAGACAAAGGAAGAACAGGGCGAGCTAAAATCAACTCCGGTAATACGTGAATTTGCGACTCAAAAGTATTTAGTTCACATCGACTGCGTGTCCGCTATATGCCACTCGTGTAACGCGCCGATGGCCGATCTCTCTGTAAAATTCTCCTTCCCGCAATGTTTCGCCAGTGGCGTAGGCCGTCGCCTCATCTGCAGCCAAAGCCATCGATGTCTTGTTCGCATTGACTTATATTAAAGTTCAATTTCTGCTGGATCACTATTATTCAGTGATGGTTGTGCATTGATAATCTTTGTTTTACACGAATTTTTTTTTCATGTTTTCGAGAATTTTATGCATGTATGTTGAGCACCTCTAATCGCTGTCTTTTCGGTATTTTTATCAAAAGCCAACGGCGATTTTTGGCTTTAATCACAGCGTCGCAACTCAAAGCCCTGCTTAATTAACGCGTTTCGTTATCTTATCGTGATTTCTCCTGGGAATTCCGCCGTCAAGTTATATCAACACATTTATGCATCTATTGCAAAGTTCTGAGTTCAAATTCAAACAAAACTTAGGCCATTCTCGAGTTAGGGCTCTGAACTTCACGTCAATCTAAGAATAGATTTTATAAATTTAATCATCATTCACGTAAGCGCTACCACACACGGCACCTTGTCACTCATTATAAAGTGGGTAGCCATGGCAGGCAGAAAAATTGACCCACACCTAAATATTTTACTTTAGTAATTTTTTTAGCCAGAGATAATAAGCTGGAGCACAGGAAATTGAAATTCAAGCGCCCAGTTCTAGCTCCGTGCTAGCGCTAGGTGTTATCTTATCACAGATTACAGTTCACATATCAGCTGTCAAATGGGTGTCAAAAGAGCGGCCTTCCTGAGTACACACGAACGTAGTATCAGTTCAAAATTTAATGTTCTTATTCATTCGGAACTTTCGAAAACACGAAAAGGATACAAGGACACGTCTGCTCCCGTTTTCGTTGTGGCGAGGGTATTTTTCGCTGAGGCAATATTCCACCAGTTTAATAGTTTTAATTCTACACGAGAGAATGTAATATAACAAATACCTACGCCACAGCGCAATAAAAATAAAAAACTTTGTATTTAATTCCATAATTATTGATTACGAATTGATAAAAGAAGCGTGCCGGAGCGGCGCCAGGATGGGCCACGCTAACATTCTCCCACTTCCAGAATAGAATAGAATAGAATAGAAGTGTCGGCGTTGAAGAAATAGGCCCATGGCCTGTTGCCGATTCTTGCCGATTTCGTCCGACCGGTGGGCTCAGTAGGTGTGTCCCAATGACCCCAACAGCGTCACTTGGTAATTTTTTGCACATCTTTGTGTCGGGTCATCTACAGTAGCTTTGTGTTTTGTGCAGACAGTCATGAAGCCTGCAAACTCCCTTTAAGCTTGCCGTCCCTCACTAAGACTGCAGACTCTCACTAAGCTTGCAGATTCTCATGAAATTTTCAGACTCTCATTAAGCTTGCAGATTCTCTTTAGGTTGTAGATCGCATTAAGCGTGCAGACTTTCATCAAGCCTACAGACTTTCATGAAGCCTGCAGATTCTCATTAAGCTTGCAGACTCTCAGAGATTTGGTAGAGACGCGAAGCAGCGGGATTGGATTGCCACTGTGAAATATTTTGTACCTATTTGACAAAATAGTTAGCATTTATATACAGATGAATAATTGTTCTTATCAGTAGAAAGATAACAGAGGGTTACTGTTGTTGCTAAATTTGAGATTCTGCAATATGGAAAGTTAGGGAAAATGAAGATCTATTGACGCCGCTTGCTTGGTGGATGGCAACCGGGACTTGATTGTGGACTTTTCGACTGGGACTGGGACTGCTGATCGAGAGCTGCATTTCTTCTATATTCCATCAACAGGTGAATACAACCGTCAATGCAACGAAGAAAACGACAAATAAATTCATCCTTATTCTATATTGATTGTACATGTAGATACTCTCTCAATTTTTGTACTGATAATGGAACTGGCCTCTGAAACGTATTCATTAAAGACATTTATTTTGCGCTTTCTTTGCTTTGAGGTTCTTAATAAACTTGCTATTTAAGAAAGTTAGTCTCATAAGGTAAGTATATGTTAGCAATTGCCCTATTTATGTAAAACAATTGGTCATTTCGGCCAAGAGCTGTTTAAGGGCAGAAGAAAGTTCTAAGAAAATGTACACTTTGCCATACTAATTCCCCCAATATTTAGCCCATCTACACTAAATCGAGATTTGTTTTATTTACATTAGCAAGTAATTTTAATGAAGCATCAGCCAACCTTGAGTTGAATTCTTGCATCATTCATTGGATGCAGATGCTCTATAGCTGAGACCCAAGCAAAATTTACAATGTCCTGGCTCTTGATTGCGGCTCTTGTAAAAACTTTGAAAAGAATTAGTTATAGAGACAATCTCAGTCCCGCACTCCTATAAATAAATTGTTTGTAATAAATAATTCCTCTAATTCTATTAAGTCCTCTCTAATAAATGATTTCACCAAAATCTTCGTCACTCTGCATAGTTAAAAGCAACAAACAGTTCACAAATGCACGTATATGGTCAGTTAATTTTTAACCGGTGCCGGGCGCACTAAATTACTTGCACTTCTGCGTACGATAAATATTGAAATTAACATAACACTTTACTTGACAAGCCTCCCTCCTGTATCGCCTCCATAAAGTCAATGGTCATATAACTAAACAAATTAATGTGGTAATCAGGCATTTTGTAGTGAAACTTTACTGTCATGGAGGCTCATTCACAAATGCTTGGTGCATCGACTTGTCGAGAAAAGTGGTATTTAACCCTTAGTAATCCTTAGCAATTGTTTGGAACAAACACGGTAACAGTAAACACCGACTTTAAAAAACTATCGACTATCTCATCCCGAGTACACATCAATGTTAAAATTTTATAAAATCTATAATAGTTATTCATTTATAAAATGTTCAGCCCAACGTTGTCATCTGGATGTTAAATAAAACGTATCTGAATGAAACAAAATTGTGAATTATACCATTCGTTCATTTCAATATCGATGTCAAAATCGATAATAATAGCAATGATGATATCGAAGTTGATTTTTAGAGGTGAAAATCAATGTTAATGCCGATGTTAATATCGATGCTCTTTATGGTTAAAGTAACTCTGAATCTTTTTATTAAGTAAATAAATTAAGACACTCGCCATACAGAGTGTTTCAACTGAATTTATGTGTCAGGGACCATCAGCAAGATGGCGTCCTCTGCAGCCGGGACATCCGCGTCCAGCTCGGCCTCACACTATAAAAAAATGGAAACAATCAGCGACAACGCGGAGGGCATTATGGATCTTTGTCCCAGGTACGCAAGGAAAATCCTAAACATTGAATGCCGCGACAAAAACGCTGCTGAGACGTACATGGACTACATGGAGAGACATCGAAAACCCGAATTAGAACGAGATAAATTGAAAAATTTGTGTGGGTTCTCCAAAAGAACGTTTGAAACAGCCACGATTGCAGATGAAATGGACATGAGTGCAATAAACGCACTTTTTCACTGTATTTTCAAAGTTAAACATGATGGAAGGGACTTTTCGAAGCTATTGAACAAAGTGATAGAAATCACAAAACTGAGAAATGATGTCATGCATAACCTCTCCTCAATGAACGACCGAGCAAAGTTTGCCGTAATCCAAACCAAATTGTCCAAGCTGATCAAAGAAGCGAAGTTGTTTTATCCCGGTTTTCTAAGCGAGATTAACGCTATGGAACGAGACCTGCAACTTGAAATAAAGTGCGGGTTTTCTCCTGGTTGCACTGAGTTGGTTTACCACTGTCATTGCATCCTGAATGAATGGAAAATAATTGCAAATCAGCTGTTCCAAAAGTACGCGGAAGAAGCTTTGAACTTTGATATGGGCAGCGTTAAAAGGACTGAGGTGTTCCACCCACTGGAGTTGCTACTACAAGACGAGAGCAGAAAAAAGCTTCATATTAAAGACTTGTTTAAGTCTTCAAATGAACAAATCGTTCTGGTTTCAGGCGAAGCGGGCGCTGGGAAGACGACTCTTCTCTTGAACATTATACTTCAATTTAATGCAGCGCCTTACTTGAAGCGCTTTGAAGTCCTTGTGTATATCGAGTGCAGGGACATTACAACGGAAAGTTTGCAACAAGTCGCTAGGCTACATTTTGGAGACACTTTTTGCTTGAAATTAGGAGGAGAGGATAACGTTCTGCAAGCCCTCACGCAGCTCCATGTGCTGTTCCTGATCGATGGATTCGATGAAAAAAATAAAAAATCGACTGCAGTTTTGGATGCGCTGTTGAAGAAAACCTGGCACTCAAACTCTCAAATTTTGTTCACAACTCGCCCCCATACTGTCGGAGTTCTGAAGAAATTAATTGTGCAACATCACCGCAAACTATCGCAGTACAAGATAGCGCCTCTCGAAGAGTTGTCAGATCAGTTGGCGTTCATTGCGAGGTATGAACGATTTCTTACTCTTGGCCCTACACCCTCGCAAGCGATGCAGAATCGATTTTCCAAACTTGATAAGCAATTACGACAACTTTTCACGGAGCCAATATCTTTGCTGCACTTCTGCTCTATTTACAAACAGACTCCAGAAAAAATTGACCGTTGGAGAAGCTTCAACGATGTGTCGCGGGACACATTGCAGTTACAAAAGACCATCGTTGCGGACAAGCTCATCAGCATCGGTTCTTCCAATGATGATGTTTTAATTGACGACCTGTTCATGGTTATTGGCCAGTGGGCGCTGGAGTTTCTCGGTTGTAACAAGATCACATTTACCGACGCTGAGCGCACGCGGCTGCAGCGCAAATGTTGCGACAAAATCAACTTGCACTGCCAAGGCGCTGATGTCGACGCTGGCGTGTTCCTCAACGTCATGCTTAAAGTGACGCGATCGCTGTCAGGGAGCGCAGGCACAACCTACTCCTTTGCGCACAAGTCCACGCAAGAAAGATTAGCAGCGCATTACATTACTGAACAAATGCTGGGTACGGACAAGCCTAGTCTCACAGACATGGGAGTAACTCCTGAGACGAGCCCAAGGTAAGCCTACAATTTCATGTACCAGCAATAGCGTAGTGAAATTTTTTAATTATATTTAAATTTCCATGAAGCCAGTTTCTTGGGTTATGGCGCCGTTAGTGACAACCTGAGATCAAACAAAATGGCCGATTTTTTAACTAATAACTGAGGTAAAAGTGAAGTAATTACTGGCATTACAATTGTTTCAGTGTTCCGTTCTCTTCTTACGATAAAAGCTAGTAGATTCACCGCATGTTAGTATAATTAATACTAACGATTATTGTGAATTACAATAAAGTTTTTCAGTAATACATGAAAATATAACTCCCTATACCGGACCAAGCAAATTCGCTTTCTTAACATGATTTGCATGTTGAAGGTTTGTGACAGTTGTCATATATCATGTTAAATCCTTTTGCAGTCCCGAAGTTTTTGACTTCGGATTAAGATTGTTTTACGATTCAAATTTTATGTTTTCATTTACACTATTCCAGCTTCCTGGAAGTGCTGCAGTACGTCCTGCAGGACCTGAGCAGCAGCAGCCCCCGGCAGTTCCAGAAGCGCTGGCCCCAACTGAGGGACGCCCTCACTGCCGCCGGCGTCACCAGGGGCGGCGACTGGCAGGCGGTGCTGCTGAGGAGCCCTGAAGTCACCGCGCTGGCGAAGCACGCGGCTAAGATCACGATCAAAGAGACTGACGTGTGGGACGTGCACAGCGGTGAGTCGATGTAGACTCTTGCATGGCATAGATTATGATGCATACACTGGCACCCATGGCATAGATTTTGATGCATACACTGGCTCCCATGGCATAGATTATGATGCATACACTGGCACCAATGGTAAAGATTATGATGCATACACTGGCGCCCATGGTATAGATTATGATGCATACACTGGCACCCATGGCATAGATTATGATGCATACACTGGCACCCATGGCATAGATTATGATGCATACACTGGCACCCATGGCATAGATTATGATGCATACACTGGCTCCAGTTTTTGATGCATACACTGGCGCCCATGGCATAGATTATGATGGATACACTGGCTCCCATGGCATAGATTATGATGCATACACTGGCACCCATGGCATAGTTTATGATGAACACATTCAAGGGTTAATCACTGGCATCCTTCATAGTTTATGAAGGGGTTAATCACTGGCACCCATGGCATAGATTTTGATGCATACACTGGCTCCCATGGCATAGATTATGATGCATACACTGGCGCCCATGGCATAGATTATGATGTATACACTGGCTCCCATGTCATAGATTATTCATTCTTAATTAATGAATAAGTTTAAGATTATTCTTTATGAATATTCAAAGTTCTAACACGTTATAGATAGCAACAGTTGGATGTTTCGGATGAAGAAACATCTCAAATGAAGAAAAGATACGTTTTGTAATAACTGTGCCAGAGCCAATATCTCGGAAGGTTGCATGAGGGGCTCCAAATCATACTGTACAGCACATGATTTTTGAAAGGAATTGTTGGTTTGTCTCAATTGGAATGCTTGCTACTTGCGATTACAATGCCACCTGCATGTAGGAAAAATTATCATTCGGATTTTATTAAGTAATAATTTCCACCATTCAAATTCACTAATTAGGTTGTGGTGACCTCAGGCCAGGCCTTTGCGTAGGGCAGCTCCGCAGCTCATAGTCAGAACATAAGCAGAAAAAACTGCAGGCAGAACATCTCTCAAAAAGCCAGAATATATTAATTAGAAAGGGGTGAATAAATATACTAATTAGATAGGAGCGTATTTATTAATTAGCAAGGGGCGAATAAATATATTAATTAGAAAGTGGCGTATTTATTAATTAGGAAGGGGTTAATAAATATACTAATTAGAAAAATAAATATACTAAGTAGAAAGGTGCGTTTTTATTAATTAGAAAGATGTGAATAAATCAATTAATTAGCAAGAGTCGTATTTGTTAATTAAAATGGGGCTAATAAATATGTTAATAAGAAAGGTGCTAACAAACATATTAGAAATGGTCAAATAAATATATTAATTGGGAAGAGTTGTATTTTCAGAAGACAACCTAGGAACTAAAGGTAATGAAATGAAGACAGAGAACCAGGTGTAAATATTGGATAAAAAAGAGAATTGGCAATTTGGCTTATAAAATATAACCAAAATTACAGATATTATGGTATGCTCATTCACTATGGATGTGCTTCCGTGATAGCCATGCTTGATTTATGCGTTAAAAATATTACAATAATTGAAAAATGTTGTTCAGATATTTATTTATTTTTCCATCACCAGTCAATAACACTCACGCTCAATTTTCCCACTGCCCTCAATCAGAGTCTCCTCCATCCTAACCACTCTATTCTCTTTCCCACTCCGACGCCCCATATACCACCATCTGGTTCTTCACAGTTCCCTTCACATTCACATCACACATTAAAACTCTAAAATTACTTTCAGCGCCTCTGCCTCGCACAAAAAACTCCACCTCTGCTACCATATATCATGCCTTTGTCATGCCTTTCACTGCCGAGCAGTAATATTTGTAATATTAGTATTAGTATTTTGTAATAGTAGCAACAATATTTAGTAATAGTAATACTGGCTGGCAGTTTCCGTTTATGTATTTAATTTCCAACTATATAATGTAGTGGGCATTGAAGAAAGTTGAATGAGTCGCAATGCTGCATTAATGCAGCACGATATTTTTACAGGTCGTTGTTTAGTATCCTAGAATGAGCTAAATAAGTGCCCTGTGTTACTAACAAGGTCTCTTTGTTTACTGATTAAAAAATATTATATAGCAAAACAAAGTCCCCATTAATAGCAAAACAAAAAACAAAAAATAAATTCAACATTGACAGTGCTTTATTTGTAGAAAACACGATTTACAAAAACAACTTGATAAGATACGAGTATATACACTGCCCGAATTACAAGGCATATCTTTGCACACACTATATAAAACATAATATATTAACTTATTTTAGGTACCGTCCTGATGCGCGGTCACCAAGGCTGCACGAAGAGAATAGCGTTCACCCCTCCCCCCCTCTCTATCATTCGGCACTACTAATCATCACTCTCGAGCTACCTATCATCCCTCTCTCTACGTAGCATCCCACTCTCTAATAATCATACCACTTTCTACATGTCATTGCTCTCTCTATACTCATCATCTCACGGGGATAATATGCCTATCATCGCACTTTCTTACTATCATTCCTCTTTCTAGTTATCATCCCTCAGCTAATAACCCCTCACCCTACCTATCTTTCCTCTATTCAAATCATTCTTTTATCCCTATTTAATTACTCTCTTCTCTTGCTCTATAATTTTTCTTTCTCTTTACCTAGCTCCCCTTTCCGTACTTATCACATTCCTTTTCGCTCGTCTCATTATATTAATCTTGATTTGTCATCCATTTCGCTAGACGAGGATGGCTGGCTTCCTATAAATACGTTAGCAATACTTTTATACTTACATACTCCCATCTTTAAGTTCATTATTTACTTATCGACTCCATTCAACTCGCTCTTTGTCTATCATCCTTGTCTCTACCTCTACGTTACTCAACATACCTCTTCACCTATCATCCTTCTATCGCTCTACCCAAGCTCACGCCACATCAGGCAACAAGTATCCTCATCCTTCGTCCGCAGCTGGAGACGTGATGGCAGTTGCACTAATGCTTGGCAGAATCATCTCTCTACCTCCATTTTTACGTTCACCACGCCCCATGGAATGGGGGGTGGTGGGGGGGGGCCTTAACAAATTGCTAAGGCAATAAATAGGAGGCGTGACTACATATACTGTGGGATGCAACGCAATCTCTCAGTGCCCATCATGACAGCAAGGTGGAAGGTTGCAGCCACTCGCTCTACACCTTCCTTTCGTACTTTTAAGGCTTAGTTTCGGTATGTTGGCTACGTTACGACTCTTTTACGTCATTTTACGTGCCGCCCGGCAGTCTTTTGGCCGTACTGAAAACCTCATACTGCTCTCACGGCAAATCTATCTCCTCCTACAGTTTTCAAGCTACAGCAATGAGACATATACCGTTCGATTCGTAAAGACAAGGCCTATCGACTCACACATCACTTTTTTGAATTTCGGTCTGGTTCGTTTTTTATATGGGGAAGAAGGGGGGGGAGGGGTGAAAAATGTAAAAAATGGAAAAAAACGTCATAAAAAAAACTAGGTGGAGAATGAAAAAAGTGATGTGTGAGTCGATAGATATGGTCTTTACAAATCGAATGACACGTGTCTCGATGTTGTAGGATGATATTTGTGGGAGGAGATAGATTTTCTGAAGTACCCCTTTTTAGCCGTTTTCTATGAATTTCACGTTTTCTATCAATTTTTTCGAAAAATACATAGGAGCAAAATGTTTTTCTTTTTACCTTTTACGTATGTATGTGAAGTTTCATGACAATCGGATAATAACTGTAGAAGTTTTTCCGGAGCGAGGTCAATCCCCTTAATGTAAAAATAAACTCATAATAAATAATACACACACGAAGATATTGTGAAGAACAGAAGCATGCATGAGTAGTGCTGAGTAAACTGAAGAATCGGAGTTAATTTTGCCAAACATTAAGGGGGAGGAATACTTTTTGAAAAACTTTTTTGTTTACGGACGGATCTCTCTTAAACTTCATACACATATGTAAAAACGCAAAAGAATCACATTTTGTTCATGTAATTTTTCATGTAATTCATAGAAAACGGACAAAAAAGGAGGTACTGTAGAAATGTATCTCCTCCTAGGGTTTTCAAGCTACAACATAGAGACGCATATCATTCGATGCGTAAAGACCATACCAATCGAGTAACGAAGCCCGATTTTTTATTTTTGCCTTAGTTTTTTTTAACACTCATTTTTCCATTTTTTTCTTCACATTTCCCCCCTTCCCCCCATTTTGAATCCAAACTATGCACAAATCTAAAAAAAGGGCTTCGTTTCTCGATAGGTATGGTCTTTACGAATCGAATGGTATATGTCTCATCGCTGTAGCTTCAAAACTCTAGGAGGTGATAGGTTTTCCGTGACAATAAGTTAAACTTTTCAGGACAGCGCGACAAAGTCCCGCGCGCCTCGAAATAGGCACTCAATGTAGCATGGATACCAAACTACAGGCTTCTGTAGCTTCCTTCCACTCAAGGATGGTAGCAGTGAATGGCAGTACACCTCGCCGTACGAAGCGAAGAGGATGACTGAGCCTTGATGCCACAAAACACCATATATCTAGTGTTGGCCAGCGAATTTCCTCCCATCTAATTACTGAAAGAACTCCCCCCCGCCCCCCTTTAAAGAGCAGCCGTGTACGTATAAATTCACGTACAGGGATCGCAGTGGTATCGTTGGATAGCTCAGAATGTCAGCTTTAAGATGAGACTAAACGAGTAACTAAAGCGCAACTCAATCAGGCACTATATTTAAAATGCTCAGCAGCTAATTACCTTGTATCTAATTAGTGAAGGAACTCTCCCACCCGCCCCCCTTTAAAGAGCCGTCATGTACGTATAAAATCACTTACAGTGATCGCAGTGGTATCGTTGGATAGGGCAGAATGTCAGCTTTAAGATGATACTAAATACCAGAAAAGCCAAATCCGAAAAAAGTATACCTCCCCCTTAACTTTATAGTGAAGAACGCATGCTCGGTGATTATATTGTATGCGTAGTTGAATATAGTACAGAATAAGAAATGTTGGGAGAATTAGGCACG